TGCCTAAGGCGGGACTAGAACTCCCAGTCTCCTGGTCATTGGCCCAAAGTCACCCAGCTGGCTTTATATGCCTAAGGCGGGACTAGAACTCCCAGTCTCCTGGTGTTTGGGCCAAAGTCACTCAATTGGCTTTATATGCCTAAGGCGGGACTAGAACTCCCAGTCTCCTGGTTTCTAGACCTACACCTTAAGCGCAAGTCCAAACTGGCTCTCTTACTATGTTGATTTTTTCCCCCCCTTCAATCTTTTTTATTCTCGTGGATACGGTACAGACTTCTCTGCTCTATTGCGAAGGAATAACTTGCTGCTTTTACAGTATCTGACATCTCCTTCTCCTCTCCACCCAACAGTGACTACTCCAAGACCCTGAACAATGGCCGACACCAGTAACATCCAGTCGGCGGCTTCTAAGAGCATCCGTCCCTTCCGGTCCAGCGAGGACTATCTGTACGCCATGAAGGAGGACCTGGCCGAGTGGCTGAACACCCTCTACGACCTGGATGTCCAGGTGGAGAACTTCATGGGCGCCCTGGAGACGGGCTACGACCTCTGCCAGCACGCCAACAACGTCAACCGCATTGCCTCGGAGTTCCAACAGTCGAACCCGGGAGCCGCTTCCCACATGAGGATCCCTCGGAAGGAGGTGGTCTTCCAAGCGAAGAACGTGGTCCCCGGCTCGTTCATCGCGAGGGACAACATCTCCAACTTCATCCAGTGGTGCCGTCAGGAGCTGGGCATCCAGGACGTGGTGATGTTTGAAACGAACGACTTGGTGTTGAAGAAGAACGAGAAGAATTTCGTCCTCTGTCTGCTGGAGGTGGCCAGGAAGGGCTCCAAGTTTGGGATGCTGGCGCCCATGCTCATCCAGATGGAGGAGGAGATCGAGGAGGAGATGAGGGACCACCAGGTGGCCTGCGGGGAGCTGAAGAAAGAGCAGGCGGTCCAAGATTTGGGGCCCAAGTCTCCCGTGTACCTGAACAAAATGCAAAGGATAGCCTTGTGCGACCTCAAGAACCTGGATGAGCTGGTGAGTTCTTGCATTCTGCTGGGCCTTTGGATTTATTTATTTATGAACATAGTTGCATCTTCCCCCTTTCTGTCATGCCGCTGTTGGAGTCTGACTGGGGGAGTGTGGGAACAGCTGACAGGGAGTGGAAATGTGGCTCCAGAGGATGTGGAGGAAACTGGGGAAGGGCACAGGCTGGCTGGGCAGTCAGAGGAAGACCCAGGCCCATCCCCTCTTCATCCTAGGGCACGCAGGGAGAAGCAGATCAGGGAGAAACATGAATGGCATGGCCTATGGGGAGGAAGGGGCCCTGATCCCCTTCATGGGCTGCAACTGTGAGGACTGTTTAAAAGGACAAACTGCACATGGCCCAGTGCTGGAAGCAAAGCGTGAAATAATTCTAGTCTTACAGTTCTTATCTGAGTTCTGGCGTCCTTCCCAGTGTGTGTATTTCGATATCTGTGGATGTCTTCAAGCCCTTATCCTGCCTTGTCTCATTAATTGCTTCAGTGTGGTTTGTGTTGTTTTTTTCTATTTATAAATTACATGTATTTTGAGTTTGAACTGCATTTCTTCCTTTTCGCAACTGTTTGTGGGGGAGTTTTTTCTCCAGCCAATAATAATTGGAGCTTTGAAGCCAAGTTGAAGGAATTAAAGGGACTTCACTTGTTTTTGTGGCTTTTGTTGGCTATGAAAATTATCTCCTTTGGCTTAATGGAGTAGAGTAGAGTAGAGTAGAGTAGAGTAGAGTAGAGTAGAGTAGGAATAGGAATAGGAATAGGAATAGAATAGGAATTGAGAAGGGGAGAAGGAAGGAGAACAGAACAGAACAGAATAGAATAGAATAGAATAGAATAGAATAGAATAGAATAGAATTGAATAGAATAGAATAGAATAGAATAGAATTCTTTATTGGCCAAGTGTGATTGGACACACAAGGAATTTGTCTTGGTGCAAATGCTCTCAGTGTACATAAAAGAAAAGAAACATTTGTCAAGAGTCAAGAATCATCGGGTCCAACACTTAATGATAGTCATAGGGTACAATAAGCAATCAAATCATACGGAAACTGTCCATATAAATCGTAAGGATACAAGTGACAAGGTTACAGTCATACAGTCACAAGTGGGAGGGGATGGGCAATTAGGAGTGATGAGAAGATTAATACTAATAGTAATGCAGACTTAGTAAATAGTTGGACAGTGTTGAGGGAATTATTTGTTTAGCAGAGTGATGGCATTCGGGAAAAAACTCACCTTGTGTCTAGTTGTCCTGGTGTGCAGTGCCTTATAGCATCGTTTTGAGGGAAGGAGTTGAAACTGTTTATGTCCAGGATGTGAGGGGTCTGTAGATATTTTCACAGCCCTCTTTTTGACTTGTGCAGGATACAGGTCCTCCATGAAAGGCAGGTTGGTAGTAACTGATTTTTCTGCAGTCCTAATTATTCTCTGAAGTCTGTATGTTTGCTGAAGGCGATGAAAAATAGGAAGGTGAGATAGGACAACACACCAGACGTAGCTTTTTAGTCATTTAGAACTTTAATTGTTCTGAGAAGAGGTTTTCAAGTTGTGGTTTGGAGCGTCTTTAAATATTTAATTCAGTCAACATTTGATTATCCTGGACGTGTCTTTTCCAAAGTGTGTTTGTTTTTCACCGTCATCTTTTTGCCTTTTTATTAGATTTTCAGACTTCTTCATCTCTTTCTCCAACCCTGTCTTTAGATAACCTTGTTTATATAAATAACCCTCTCTACACACATTTATTTGACTGGTGGGAATCGTTCTTTTATTCTGTCTCTTTAAGGTGGGTTACTATGATTAACATCTAACAAGTTAGTCCCCTGCTCATGGGCTCAGTTTAAATGTGACATTAAAAGGGGGAAAGAATTGGGAGGTGGGAATTAGACAAACTCAGACAGACATTCTTAGTGATAAAAGTTTTATGGGAGAACCAGCCAAACAGCACCAGTGGGCTGTCAAAGGGCTCATTATTTAGCAACATGAATAAATGAACGCAAGCCAAACTCAGCATATTGTAAAGCTTTTCCTGATCCGTGTTTTGCCTCTCTGTCCCTGTTGTCACACCTATCATTTGCATAGCTTTATTTTATCTACGGAAGGAAGCCCTTCCAAATCGGAGAAAGGATAGATACAGATTAACAAAGTTGGAAGGGACCTTGGAGGTCATCTAGTCCAACCCCACCCCAAGCAGGTGTCCCTACACCATTTCTGACAGGTGGCAGTCCAGTCTCTTCTTGAAAGCCTCCAGGGATGAAGCTCCCACAACTTCCAAAGGCAACTTCTGTTCCATGGGTTGATTGTTCTCACTGTTAGAAAATTCCTCCTTATTTCCAGGTTGAATCTCTCCTTGTTCAGTTTCCATCCATTGTTCCTTCTCTGGCCTTTGTGTGCCTTGGAAAATAGCTTGACCCCTTCTTCTCTGTGGCAGCCCCTCAAATATTGGAAGACTGCTATCCTGTCTCCCCTGGTCCTTCTCTTCACCAGACTAGCCAAGCCCAGTTCCTGCAACCGTTCATCGTATGTTTGAGCCTCCAGTCCCCTCATCATCCTGGTTGCTCTTCTCTGCCATCTTTCTAGAGTCTCAACATCTTTTTTATAGTGTGGTGGCCAAAATTGGATGCAGTACTCTAGGTGTGGTCTTAAGGAATTAGAGGTGTGGGAAAATTAGTCTCTTTCTGCAGCACAGAAAATGCTTATTTTTCCTTCTGAATACTGCCCTGTGTCTTTGACTGAAAAACCCATATTTATTTAGGTTATATTACATTTGTTTAGGGTTGGCTTCCCTTGTTTTTTTTTTTTTTTTCCATGGAAGTTGCTACTTTAAGCCACAAGTCGTTTTTGGCCACTGGAGTAAATGTTGGGCTTCTGTTTCCATCACCAAGATGTCACTTTCCCATCTTCTTCTCCACCCATGTCAACAAGTAGACCTTCAGCCCATAATTTTGGGACCAAAATAGCAGAGAATAACAGAGCCATTCAGCAGTTTATTCTTCATGTGGACAAATGTTCCTACGTAGTAGCTGAAGGGCGTATATATAGAGGGAGGAAGAAGAGGATGGAAAATGAGAAACAAAGCAGGACAAACTGAAGAAGGAAAAAAAAACATAGCATGTAGAAAACTTACACCGTAAGTCCCTGTCCCTCTTCTGCCACCTGGTCTGTTACACAGTTTTAGGGGTGTCCTATAAGCCTGTCTGAATTTAGCTTGCCTAGCGAATCATGAAGTTGTTTGAATGCAACCACTCTTGTAAAAATGGGTTTACAGATTAACAGAGTTGGAAGGGACCTTGTAGGTCATCTAGTCCAACCCCTCCCAGCCCAAGCAGGAGACCCTACACCATTTCTGACAGAGGGCAGTCCAGTCTCTTCTTGGAAGCCTCCAGTGATGAAGCTCCCACAACCTCCGAAGACAACTTCTGTCCCATCGGTTGATTGTTCTCCCTGTCAGAAAATTCTTCCTTATTTCCAGGTTGAACCTCTCCTTGATCAATTTCCATCCATCTTTCCTTGTCTGGCCTTCGGGTGCTTTAGAAAATAGCTTGACCCCTTCCTCCTCTCTGGGGCAGCCCCTCAAATATTGGAAGATGCTCTCCTGTCTCCTCTGGTCCTTCTCTTCCCTAGACTAGCCAGGCCCAGTTCCTGCAACCGTTCATCGTTTAAAGCAGGGGTCTTCAAACTTGACAGCTTTAAGACTTGGGGACTTCAACCTCCAGAATTCCTCCTCCAGCCATGTTAGCTCAGGAATTCTGGGAGTTGAAGTCCAAAAGTCTTAAACTTGCCAAGTTTGAAGACCCTTGATCTATTCTATCTATCTATCTATCTATCTATTCTATCTTTCTCTCTCTCTCCCTCTATCTATCTATTCTATCTCTATCTATTCTACCTCTTTCTCTCTCTATTCTATCTATCTATTTATTCTACCTCTTTCTCTCTCTATTCTATCTATTCTATCTTTCCCTCTATCTATCTATCTATTCTATCTATCTCTCTTTCTATCTATTCTACCTCTCTTTATCTATCTATTGCAGGGGGTCTTCAAACTTGACAGCTTTAAGACTTGTGGACTTCATTTCCCAGAATTCCTCCTCCTCCAGCCATGTTAGCTCAGGAATTCTGGGAGTTGAAGTCCACAAGTCTTAAACTTGCCAAGTTGGAAGACCCTTGGCTTAACAAAACGACCCAGAGTAATTTTCTCTGGGAAGGAATTTAGAAATGAGGCACATTCAGTACAGAGAATTATTTGCTAACCTTCAACATACTATTATAGCTCTCACAATCTCTTTAATTGCTCGCAATGCTCTTTGGCATCTCATCTCATCTTCTGCACCTGAAGGGAGGGAACACGTCAAAATAACACAGCACAACAACCTTGATGAAATCACTTCTTAAGCCTCCTGGCTAATTGTGGTTTTGTAGAAGGTTGTGTGCGAGTCAGCTGACGATTCCTGTCCTGTCCTGGATAAATTGCGGTCTTTATGTTTAGGTGTGGTGTCCTCGGGGCTTTTATGGTTTGGGCAGTGCAAAGTCAGCCCCAAGGTACAAACAACACGCCCTCCGTGCAAAGCAGGCAAACATTCAAAGAAGGAAATGGTGGTATTTTCATGCAAAGGGCAGCCTTTTAAAGATATTCACAGGTCGCTCTGATTGCAAAAATTAATTGGGCGATCTCCAGCAGGGCGGAAGACAAATAAATAGCGTGTGCAGGTATCATTTTTAATCCTTTAATGTCATCTTGAACGGTGAGAGGAGCCTGCGAAAGTTGACACCTTCTTGGGTGGATAGAGTTTGCTTGCCCATCAACCAAGTCAAAGGAGAGGCCATCTGCAATGGAGAGGAAGGTGATGATGATGATGAAGAAGAAGAAAAAGTTTGTTCTGCAAAATTTTGGTTGCAGACATTCCGTAAGCAGGAAAGTCCTTTTACTTTTTTTAAAAAAATTTTTTAAAATATTTATTTTATTTTATTTTACAACAAATCCGTCTTTGTTATACAGTGTGTCGACTGGATACATATATCTTGTGCAAATGTTTATATTTAGTATACATTTCTTGCTATGATTACATTCATATTAAAAACTATTCGTCCTTATCTATCTTATCATTATAACGATCTTAATGCATTTTACCCTATATTCATTTAACTTCTTTATCTTCCAACCATTTATAAAATAAATCCCATAAAATATTCCACTTCAAGTCCTTCAATGCCCATCTGGAGCTTCTGAATCTGCTAATTGAGGCGAACGTCCATTTCATTGCACTTAGTCCTCGACTTGTGGCCCCAATTTCCGTTGTTAAGTGAATCACCGCAGGGAATTGGGCTAGGGAGCAGTCATCAGGGGTAGCCACAAAGAAGAGGGAGTCAAGCTGTACTCCAAAGCCCCTGGAGGGCAGGGCAAGAAGCGACGGATGGAAATGAATCCAGTAGAGAAACAATAGGTTCTCTCCTGCCTGAGCAGGGGGCTGGACTAGAAGACCTCTGAGGTCCCTTCCAACTCCTGTTATTCTGCTCTGTTCATGAAGACTAGAAAGCTGCTCTTATTTGAAAGAAGGAATGCAGGAACAGCGTGAGGAAACTTGAAAAGCTGCGCTCCAGGCCCAGGGGACTTTTCCCACCTCAGCTGGTCTGAAAAATCCTCCCCTCCCCCCACGCCCCCCCCCC